CCAACCACCCTCTGGGGGAAAAACTTTTTTCTAATATCCAACCTAAACCTCCCCTGACACAACTTCAGGACATTCCTTCGGGTCCTATCATTGGTCACCACAGAGATCAGTGTCTGTCCCTCCTCTTCCTCTCACAAGGAAGTTGTAGACTGCAATGAGGTCTCCCATTTACAGTTTTCACAGTTACATTTAATAAATACATTAAAAAATTAGTAAGCATTCCACGAAGCCAGGTAAGAACAACAGTTCCATACCGGACACTTGAAAATATTTGTTCCATACTCCAATTAGCAACTTCCCATGACGAAATTTTCCACTCCTAAAATCTGTAGTGAGAGGCTACTTCTGCTCATTTCTGAAAATCCCAAATGGATGTTTGTATTGCCAGGGACATAAGTGGGTATATTCCTTTAACTCCACATCTACTCTGGCAGTTTCCACAGCTGCAAGCAGCTGTGCATCCTCAGACACCGTGAGAGCTCCCTTCACCAGAGCTGTGAAACAAGAGTGAGCACAAACCGAGCGACTACTGCAGCATAAGTAGGAGGGAAGTGTGCAGTTAGATGAATGCTCAAGATTTTCCACCTGTTTGGACCTGTTAACTGTGAAGCTATAATCAGTAATTCTTCATGCTCCCAATGCTAATAGGCCTGCCTTCTGTGGTGCATGCCATCTTCAGGTATCCAAACGTTATTTGGAAGACACTGGAGTGATCCTTGCATTTCACAGGGAGAAAGCAAGAAATTGTGCCAAATAACCACAATTACCCACTAAGTAAATAGCCAAGTCAAAAAAAACCAAAAAAGACTTCTTCCTTAAATTCCAGTTCCAAACTTTACATATAAGAACCCAATGATTATTGGAAATACAATTTCTGTGACTTTTAAATTCTAATACTAACAGCAGAACTAACAGCATGGCCATCTGAGCCTCTGTTCCCTGTCCTTGGCCAGATATTGGATTCATACATCAAGACATATAGTGGCTGATTATTGTAAACTTTCTCTCCTTGTTGTGAAGACTTTGGAACTGATTTGGGAGGAATTCTTGCCTCACAGCAAAATTACATGCCAGTTTACAATAGCATCAAGTAAGTGTGCTTTATTGAGTTTCCTTTAGGATTTAGTCTTGGTTTTTTCTCGTATCTATCTACCTAAAAGTAACTGTTAGCTTCCAAGCATGACAATTCTTCTGTCAGAGAGTTTTTTTACCTGCCTATTCTATTACCATTCCTAAACCCAGCACATGTATGTGACTTCACACTTGCTTAGACATTGTAGACATCAGACTAGAGAAGATAAGAAACTACTTTGAAACCAAGAACTACCTGAAATTTTCTTGAGCCTGCAGAAAATGGAATCTAAATAATCCTTTCCAAAGCACAGTTCTCAAAGCAAATGATCAGCAAGGGTGCTTTCCAGTCAAAAACCCAGGTTCATCTAGAGGAGGAAGAGACCCTGAAGCAAGGCAGGAAATTCATACTTGATGTATGTAGGAGGTGTGGAATTTTTCAGCCATTTGTATACAGTTCTATAGGCTCTATTAACCCCAATTCCATCTGATTCATGGAAATTATCTGTAAGGAACTAAGATGTATCATCACATCAAAAGTAAAATTTGACCTTCAGGTGGTAAATTGAACTTTTTGATCCAGTATTGACAACTTGCAGAAACTCACAGAGCATTCAAGGCTTTGGAGTTTTTTTCCCCTTTATGCATTTCATCACATAATCTCACACAGAACATCTCAGTCACTCGTGAAATCCATTGACTGATATTTGCTGGACAAAAGTAGAAAAAAATTTCCTTTAAATTCTGAAACACATCAGTGTTTTAAAGACAGATCTTGTCACTTCTTTGACAGGCACTGTGTGAAGCTGGCATTGATAGACAGCAAGAGCTTCAGTGTGGTTTCAAATGTCACTCCATAATATAAAGTTAACTACAGCAGACTTTGTGGTGCTGGACCATCCACAGAGCTCTTTGAACAGAAGAGCCCCTTCCCATCTCCCTTTATCCCACCCAGCTTAGCAGTAACTCATTTGTCTGCCTGCATGACTTCTGGAGAGGTTTATCACCCAATCAATGTGATTAATTTTTCACCTTTCCTGGATTGCCTCTTTTCCAATAGTTCACCTTTACAAAGCAACAAGCATTGGTCTTAATGACCAGCAAGTTGTGCTGCTGCCATTTTAATTGCAGAATTTGTTTCAGACTCTTGCCTATCATCACTGAGGCTCAAGCCTTAGACCACTCCACCAAAACCAGGAGACTTTCTTTTAAAACCTCAGGCAGGAGGACCTGTGTACCAGAGCTCAGCAGTAGTTTGGTATTTATCTTTACATTAGTAATGTTTCAGGAAAAAAAACACTGCTGGAGCAATGCAGAGCAATGCAAGTAGAGGATTAAACTCCGATGCACTGCTGCAACCACCCTTAAAATGATCAACATTATCTTAGGGTGGCTTTGCTCTGAGCAGAACCCAAGTATTAGAAGTGACACTGGCTTTATGACCTGTTCTTGGTAGAGATAAGGGTTCTCAATAATTTCTTGTCCATCTCCTGCTGCCTTGCCAGCCACATCTGCAGACTTTCCTGTGGCTGGTACAAATACAGCTGAGGAGAAGTTTCCATTCCAGGGAGCAGATTGGCACACTTCCATCTGCCTGATGTTAGACTTCCTGACTTAATCTCTTTAGTCAGGTGTACAGGGACTGGAAGATGACAAGTCTCACTGCAAAAAAATGCACACCCTGAAGACAACAGACAGTTGAAGTCTTTTGTGCAGCACTGGTCCCTTAACTTTCAGAGCATGCTTTGGAATTGCCCTTCCTTAGCAGGGGACAGAAGCAGGTTCTTTGCATCCCAAAGGTCCCCTTCACACACACTTTCACACCGTCACATCAGTGCCTTTCTCACTAAGTGGGCTGAAATAAATATATAAATGGACTAGTTTTCTGTGGGCTTTAGCAAATGACCTCTTAACTCAGTCAGTCAAATAGAAAAAAAAACCACAAGCGAAAAATGTTACTTTGCCCAGGAAACCAATGCAGAAAGCTCAGGAAAATCCATTTGCCCTGGCAGAAAGGCCATTGCCTCATGTCCCTGTGTAGTAGGGAGGAGGTTACTTTTCATCGTCTTTATTTTTGTCTAAAGGCTGTGTTAGCTTCAACAGGGAGCTACAGATCTGGAAGATGCAGCTGGCTCCAAAAGCAGCAAAAGGTAAAAAAACAGTAAGCTAGAAACCTCCAATGAGAAGGGAATGAATAGTACTGGATAGAAATGAACCTGACATGATTTGAATGTTAGCAAGTCTGCAAGAGAAATGAGCCTTAAAAAAACCCTTCTGAATGGTATTCAAATATCCAATCTGTCATCCTTTTCTCTTCCAAATGAACTCCCTTCAGCAAAATTACCTAAACTGGAGTACTGGAAAACTGTAAATTTTTTATCTACTGTCTTTACAAGTGAGTTTCCTGGTGGCTAATGACAACAAATTGGTTAATAAAGCATTTCATTTGAAAAGGTCAGCTGGGCTTAGATTAAATATTTCTTCTGGGAGAACTTTGGGCTTAAAATTTCAAGCTCATTTAAATAGAAGTTTGCTCAGAAGAATACTGTGGAAAAGAGCAGGCCATCAGCAGGCCACCCTCCTCCATCCTCCAGCCCAGGAGCTAACTCCCAGCCTGGAAGGGGTGATCTTCCCTGCCCCCCTCTGCAGTCACACGGGCAGGAATTCTTCCAAAGGAACTCTCACAGCAGCTCAAGTAGGCTGTGGTTCACAAACAGCATTAGATCCACTATCCTGGCCTTTGTGCATTATATATCACGGGATGACATTTTCCACAGTGAACTCCAACCAGTTTACTTTGGGATCAGTCATCGCGAGACACAAATGACCTCTGAACAGCTAAATTTCTTTTTAAAAAATTCTAGAGATTGTATTCTAGTTGATTAATCCATTGTCCTGGTTTGGGCTGGGATAGAGCTCATTTTCATCTCAGTAGCTGGTACAGGCTGTGTTTTGGATTGGACTGGGAATAATGCTGATAACACTGTAATGTTTTGGTTGTTGTTGAGCAGTGCTTACCCTATGCCAAGGACTTCTCTGTGTCCCATGCTCTGCCAGAGAGGAGCTACACAAGAAGTTGTGAGGGAGCATGGCCAGGACAGCTGACTCGAACTAGCCAAAGGGATATTTCATACCATAGAACATCATACCCAGTATATAAACCGAGGAGAGTTGGCTTAGAGGACCTGATTCCTGCCTGGGGACTGGTTGAGCTTCAGCCAGTGGGTGGTCAGCAACTGTATTTCTTGGTTTATTTATCTATTCTTCTTCTCCTTGTTATTATTGTTTTATTTTTCTTTGTTTAAATTGTTAAGCTGTTGTTATCTCAAAAACCCACAAGGGTTTTCTTACTTTTTTTCTGATTCTACTCCCTATCCCATTGGGAGGGGGCAGGCAGTGAGCAAGTGTCTGGATGGTGCTTTATTACCAGCTGGAGTTAAACCATGACATCCATGACACTGAGATGGTAGTTTGGGCTGAACAGCTCATTCTTCCAGAGTCAGTCTTGTGACTAAGTCATAGCTCCTGTACAGTAGGCCTTTTAAGATGCTCACAGTTAACGGGGTTTGCTTTCAAAAGGACAATTTCCTGCATATATTGGTTTCTACCAAATAATAGGAATTTATAAATAAATGCCTTAAAAAATGCTGGGACTTAGCTTACATTTTAGTCCTCAAGGACTTGCAATCCTGGAACTGAGGGCTGCCCCTTCCCACACAGTTGTAGCCATGCCACATTCTCCTATTGCATCTAATTTGTCCACATCATTTCTATACATTCTGGGAAAAGCAGACCAGCCCTGTTTTGAACCAGAAGATGATAATTTGTTGTGATCCCAGTAAGCAAGGCACTCAAACATTGTGAATTATAACGTAAAATGCCATTCATTAGAGTTAATATGACAAAGAGGAGAGTATAGATAGTCTTACCTCCCTCAGGTGGAACCCTTGAGCTGTGCTGTATTCATTGGTTGTCCAAGCACACCAAGCACCAAGGTCACCCCACTTTGGGCTTTCAAGCTTCAACAGCATGTTCTGAAAAGAAAACAATTCTGCTCATCATTCCTACTATCAAACAAAAAGGATGTTTACATGAGAACTTGTTGCTGCACTTTTAGTTAAAGGACATGCAGGGGTGTAATTGCCTGTACTGAGGGGAAACTACCCACAGGCTCCTTGGTTGCAATCAGGCAATGGAGATCCTCTTGCAGCAGGGGATATGCACAGGACCACACAGGCAGGAAAGCCAAGCTATACTTGGGGCATGGGGCAGCACAGAACAGCCTACACTTACACAGGTTATTTGGCTTGTGAATCCCTACCTGCTCCTTGACAATGTTCTTCCTGTCACAATCCCTGGTGACCACCATCAGAGAGAAGGGAAGGTTTGCCTCCTCAACACCACCAAATGGCAAAGAGATTCCTTTCTCTGGGGGCTTTGTCACTCCTGTTCCACAGCGTTTAACTCCATCTATGCACAACACCAGGAAGTGAGATGCTGAGCCCTTGGCTCTGACATTCATGCCCCTGAGCTGTCCCTCTCAGAAAAATCAGCATCTGTCTCCTTTTGACCCTAAATCACCTGTATTCCCACAGAGCCATGGACAGGCAGCCTGTTCCACCACACTGCCAGCCACACAGACAGCAGTCAGCCCTGGGGTGCCAGGGGGGCATAGCCATCAACCTCAGCCATGGATGTGCACCTTCTGGCATGATTTGCTTCCTCTCCACCTAGTTTGGGGAGTATGGATATGCCCATCATCTACTGTCCCTTCTACAGTGTTACTCTCAGACTTCAGAAATGAGAAGGAGGTAGCTGATCAGGTCCTGCACTTTTGACACCACATCAGAAAAACCACAAAGCCTTTTGTAAAGTCAGAAATGAGGTGTGACAGCATCTTTTCATGACTCATCCTGACACCAAGATTGTGGTTTCATACTCTGAGTAGCTTCAAATGAAACTACCGTTAGGCATTGTTCTGTTGAGTTAGAATTGAAATGTATGCAGAAATAGCCGGCAATATCTGCAATAAGGGTTTCACAGAATAATCTCTTTCTCTGATTGATAGTGAACTCCAACAGCCCTTTAAATCTCAAATAACTTGTGAGAAATAAAGAACTATTAACTTTTAATGAAGCCCCAAAAACCATGTCAGGCTGTAGAATGAGGCATGAGCTTTAAATACTTCATGTCTTGCTACAGGGAGAAGCCAAGGACCTGGAACAGAGGACTCCTCTCTCCATGTGCCTGAGCCAGCCAGACCTCCACAAATCACTGCTGGATGTAAAAGTGCTCATAGTGACGTGCTCTGCTCTGTCTGTTTATGCTGAGGGTAGAAATAAGGAAAAGGAGGGTGTCTTTTAGGTGAAAGTGGGATTATGGGAACTGCAGAGGGAAATTCTTGGAACCATTCTGCCTGCCATCGTGAAACACCAAATCACCAGTGACAAATGGCAATGGCAAATGGCAATGGCAAACCCACCACAATATTCCGAAGGGGAGACATGATTCTGTCCGGGGCAAGTGAACAGGAAGCAATGATCACTCAATATGAAGAGCAGAAAAAAGAAGATGCTGAAGTGATGATAACACAAATTGCAGGGCTTTGTCAAAAGAGAACAGCAATAGCAAAGTGCTCACAATTGAGCATAAATTTGAGATTAGCTGAAATGGATGACAATTTAATCTTTTAAAAAATGCAGCATCCAACTTTGCCTATTTAGACCTCCAAAGAAGTCAGCAGGTTTTTGAAAGGATATATCTCCTATCAAGACACTTCAATCAAAGAGCTGCTTTGTTTCCAAAAGCATTCTTCGGCTCATAGCACCCACTGAAAGAGAAGATCCACTAAATGTATCTCTGAGTAAGATCCAAAATCAACAAGGCAGTCTCTGAAAATCCAAATGACTGACAAGCCTGACTGAGACATAGGACATATTAAGCTCCTTTTTGTTTCTAAATTCAAAGGCTTCTGAATGTTGGTATGTATAAACCTGTTCTTGAGGAAAAGGCCAAATGCAGACTTCAGATCTCAATCAGAAATAGTAAAACAAGGAATGTAAAGTAGGTCCATTAAAATTCTATCTGGTGCAGCTGAAAAACATTTGATAGTCTCATACAGAAGACATGAGCCCTAGATTACAAAATTTCTTCACCAACAGGCCAGGAAAGCACTTGTCATAAATTATTTGGGTATACGTAATGCAGCCCAGGAACAGCACTACAGATTAGATGATAATCCTGAGATCTCTTAACATCTGCCATTCAGAGGCCTTCTGCTCAAGAGAAGGGTTTGTGCTAACAGACATTTGCTCTAAGGAAGGTAGATTTAAGAAAAAACAACCAAACACACAAAGTCCAACAAATACATCCAAAAGAAAAGAAAAATCAAAGGAATAGTTAATAATTAAAAAAAATGTTCGATGTTTAATGACTGAAATGTTTTTCTTGTGGTCATTCATGTCATCAAAACTCATGCACAGTCCCTGGGTTGGTCCTTGCTTTCCAACCTGCCCCAAATACTGTCACTTTTGCTTCTCTAGTGAGGGTGACAAGTGCCAGTTAGGAACATCAGCTTCCTAGAGCTATTTCTACATATTTCATAGACTGTTGTTGAGGCCAAGGGGGTGCTTCTCACAGGGGATTGCCATGCTAAACTGAACTGAGCAAAATAAATGCCATTTCTTACGCAATCACAAAAGGATGAACAAAGATGAAGAAAACTGTCAGAGAATTAAAAAGTTGAAAAAAAAACCAGAAAGTGAAAACACAGAAGCTTCTACTTGGAAAAGAGTTGCTGATTGCCTCTCGGTCACCTTGCACATGAAGTGAGCTCTGGGCAGCTCAGCTAAACCTTGTGTCATTCGGCTGTGAGAGACACCTGAACACCCCTGTCCAGAGAAACCTGTGCAGCTCTGAAAGGAAAAGACCTTTTCGGATGAAAGTGCCACATCTACTGCTCCAACAATGCTGACAACCATCCTAGTACAATGTCACTGTCTGCTGCTCCTTCAGATGTTTTGTCCCTTTTCCCAAGCCACAAAGTGATACTCCCAGTAAGGAATCAGAAGAAAGATGGTAACAGGAAAGTAACACGGTGGCATAATCCAGTAACAAAGTCAAAAACTTTTCTGCTCGCTCCTTCCCAGGATCTTTCCACATCCCATGTCACCACTCGAACAGCCAAGTAGGGTGCGATTACTCCTGTGTGCACATTTTTGCCAAACTCTATCCAAAAGTCACTTTCCTCTTGTACACAGCATATTTCCATGTATTAAAAAATTTGCACCTAACTCTTTCTGCAGGCAACTGCAGAAATGTTCTGTCAAACATTAACATCAGCTACACACTCTCAGGTTGAGTACGAATGTCTGCTGGGAATTCTGAGCAGGAATACACATGGTTGTAACCAAAGGTGTGCTGGCACCTTTTGTCTGATTTCCCAGAAAATCACATGAGGTCTGATGCTTTGTCCCATTTCACCAACAGATTTCTATCAGCAACCTGCCTAAAACCCCAGCCAGACTTTAAGCAAAGCTTAGGTCAGCTCCCTAGGATTAATTACCTCGGAGTCCAATTTATTTAGCAATTAGGAAAAACTAGACAGTAGCTGGTGAGTTGGCTCTTTTGAAACAAAGGGTCACAGTCCTTAGGTCTGTTCGCAGGCTAAATGCTGGGTTTAGAAATTCATTATTTGAAAGTCTCAAAACAAGTACTTCACATTGCAATTCTTTTTGCATCATTTAGCCTCCAAATAACTTCCCTGTTCAAACTGTGAGCATGCTAATGACAAAAACAAATAAACAGGAATGTAGATTGTTTACATGATAGTTTTCAGTACCAACTTTTCCTTCTAAGCCTGGCTTTGTCACACTCGTTAACACTGATCTCAGGAAACATCTTGTGATACCGCGTTAAATGTTGTGACACCATCGGGAAATTGCCAATAAACTTTATCAAGGAGAAACCTTGTCCTAGGCAGAAATTCTACAACAGAATCATGTGCATACACCTCCTGCATGTACTCCATGGCTTTAGAGCCCTTCTGCTACTGCCTCAGCCCTGGATAAGGATACTGGGACATTTATTGGGGCTCTAGATCCACCTCTGCCCGTGTGGCTGTAAGGGCAGCTCCCAGCACTGTTGGTTTCATTCTCTGTTTGATTCCCAGTCAACAACTACTGTCTTGTACAGCACATACAAAGCACATTATTTCACAATCCTACTGGTGTTTCCTGAGAAACAGCTTGACACATACAGCACAATTCCTTGGATCACAGGAGATGAACTGCTGTGCAGAAGCTCCATACTGAGCTCATCTGGAGGGGCTGTAGTTATCAGGGCTCTGATACCAACTTGCCCTGCGTCAATGGAGTGAGACAGTTCTGCAGCAGATGAGATTTTGGTCTAAAGGAATATAAATATTTGGATATCATGTTGCTCGATTAACTCATTAGATAACTTCATGTGAGACAGCTGAACAAAGTCTTAAAGAGATCATGGATGTTCCAAATGTAAAGCTCCCTTTAGAGTACTGGCTTTTCCTCGGGGACATTGAAGGTTTACGTAGCCCATTTTAGGGATCTTTTTGATGTGGTTGTGATGTACACCCTAAGTTCACTTTGTCTCTCCCTATACTTACTCTATTTACGTTTCTTGTCACAGAATTTGGAAAGTGGATCTGATTTCCTCACTATACATCTGGTTGCACCCTTTCAGGTTATTAAAAATCCCTTCATGGCTTTTCACCTATTACACTGACTTCAAAACAAAGCCAAGCAAAGTATTTGCTATGAAATTCTTAATGCTGTCTGCTGGCTCCAGACAGTGGGGACTCTCTGGCCTTACCTCAAGTTTCTGTAAGAAATGCCACAGCAGCAGCCATTTTACCCCAGACACATTTTATATTAGCATATTTCTTTCCTCACTTATTTCTTCCAGAGCCAGGTGCCCACTAGCTCACAAGAGCCCAGTCTTGCAAGTGTGCATTGAGGGTCACATAGTTTAAGTTTTCTGCAAACCTTCTACACTTTTCATGACCCTCTACTGCCTCTGACAGTCTTATCCAGAAGGGACTATGCAATGTGTCCCAACTGTGCATCTTGGAAAATGTCAGCTAATGCGAATAAGTCTGGAGGTAAAGAAGAGGACTGGGCATGTGCTGTGTGTTTCCTTTCCTTCTGGAGAACTGGGAAGCAAAAGAACTGCTCCCTGGGGTGCAAGTGCTTCACAGATGTGAGGAGGCAGAATTAGCAAAGGACAAATCCTTAAGGATTCACTGCCACTTTCCTGCTCTGAGTAATTCCCTGAGAGGGCAAGGAAAGCTGTCAGGGGTCCTCTGATGTACAGCTATTCACTGTTTGACCCTCCGTCTGCAGGAGCTGCTGCAGCTGCAGTCCTAAAGACAATAGCCTAGAGAGAGATCCACAGAGAAAGATCCCTGGGAAAGAAGATCACCGTCCTTCCTCCCCCGCCTCTCCACTGGGAGGTCTGTGTTTTGCCTCTGTGCCACATCAGGTGCAGGCAGCTGTTGCCCAGCACAGGCAAAACCCAAAGAGCAAGTGCAGACCGGGGTTTACACCTTCTATGTTCAGGAGGGCTAACAAAGCAATTCCGTGGCCAATTTCATGCATTCGTGGGGTTTAAGGCTGTGCTCTATTGTCTGTGGATTGCGCTGCCTCTTTAAAATCAGAAATGCATGGACAGTTTCAAGGTGCCTCCCACTGAGCAAAGGCTTTGGATGCAAGCACAGAGGCAGAAGAGCCATCCTCCCCTGAGCACAGGGCAAACCAGCCTGGGAGAGAAATGAGCACTCAGCAGAGTCCTCCAGCTGCTTCCAGCTATCCTTTCTCTGCTCCGGTGACAGCAGCACAGGTGCAGGGAAGAAACCTGGAGGCTCTCCCAGGGTGCCTGAGAACTCCAAGAAGATCAGAGCAACTGCAGGTACACTTTCCTGATAGTGTTATGTCAGTTGTTGTGTTATGACAGATAGTTGTGTTGTCTGTATTTATTTTATAGCTCTCTTGGTATTTTGCAGCAAAACCTGTCTGAAACAGATAATGTTCCCTGCTCTGACAGACAGATTTTGTGTCCCAGTGTTTGTTTAGTACTTCTCTTAAACGAATGTTCGCATTACCTAAAGCAGTCCCTTGTTGGAACTGTTCTTCAGTTTCAGGCTTTGGCTTTCTGTTATTCTCTTCTTCTGCAACCATCAGTTAGAAGAGCAATATGGAGACCAAAGTTGTACAAGAGAGTTTCTCTTGGAAATTTAAGTGTCAGTACATCAGGGGCTGAGGGTGGTTCCAGGGAAAGGGAGCAAGAGCTCCACTACAGAGACTGCCCTTTGTAGCCACGACCGCTATTGTTCAATAGCATTTAACACCCTGAAGACCTACTGCCTGAGTGCAGAAAGAGCAGCAATTCCCCCCAATCCTCTGCTGGGATGGGGTAGGACTGTCCTGACAGCTGAAAGTCTGGTGTGAGAATTCCTAGATGGGGCATGGGAAGATGCAAGAAGACAGCCCTCTCAGCATTTTGATACAGAGAGGTAAAATGGGGGGGTAGGTGAGAGGTTTTTTTTCCCCTCTGTGTGGAAAAATAAACAATTTTTTAATATTTGGTACAACCAGCAGTACAAGGAGGGGAGCCTGCTCCTCCCCAGCATCAAAAATTCAAGGCATTCTGTCTCACTTAAGGAAGATTTTCCCTTTCATCTCAAGGGCCAGTTTGTGGGAGCACTCTCCCTGTGAAAGGCAGATTTGCCTTTACAGCAAAGCCCTACAAGCTGATTCACTGAACAAAATCTCACCTCTGCAAATCAGCAGAGCTTCACCTGTTTGACAGAAGCAACAATGGATGATGCTGGCTGAAAATCTGGTCCTTATACTCAATTAATGGCTGCCAAAAGGAAAGTGCTGGCTTCACTATTTTCCTGCATCTTTGCAACTCCTTCTTAATTAAGGAATGTATTTAGAAGCCAGGACATCAGTTCTTTTTTCATTCTCATCTACCACATCTCTTTGACACATCTAGAATAACACATAGACTTTGTCCAAAAGGCACATCAGATGCTTTTCAGTACATTGAGATGTCATTTTAGTTTCTTTTACGTTGCGCAGGGATGACAGCACCGTAAGCTTGAAGGCTGGTGGAGGTTTAAACTGGATTTTACGCTTCCCCTATGTTGTCATTTCACTTTGTGTTGAAAATTTCATTGTTGGTAAATAAAACTGCCACTGTAACAACCAGTGTATGATGCAACTCAAGGCATTTATTTTACGAGAACAAAAGCATCCCTTCACAGGGTATTTCTTCCCACCATGCACAGGCACCAAGAGAGCTGTGGGGCAGTAAGAAGACTATTGCTTTCCTTCAAGTTCAGCATTTTTGCTGTCACTTCATTTCAGGAAACATTTTCCTCTTTTTTTTCCCACAGGAGGAGATGAATGAGGTTGTTGCTCAATAGTCTTCCAGGGACAAAGACAAGGTGACTCACTGCTCAGAAGGAAACCTTGGATGAGGTCTCATGCCCTGCCACAGTGGGTAACTCTAACACAACACCAAGGGCCCTCCAAGACACATGTGTCACAAGAAAACAGACATGGCCACAGAGCGAGCTGAACGTAACCCCAACGCCTCCACCCACCTCAGCTTGGCTGCAATTTACAACCTCCACGATGGAGATTTCAGCTCCTTGCGGAACTTCTCCTTCCCTTTCAATTTCACTTACAGTGACTACGACCTGCCCCTGGACAGTGAAGACGACATGACCAAAACCCGCACCTTCTTTGCGGCCAAGATCGTGATCGGGGTGGCCCTGGTTGGCATGATGTTGGTCTGCGGCATCGGCAACCTCATCTTCATTGCTGCCCTCGTCCGCTACAAGAAGCTGCGGAACCTCACCAACCTGCTGATTGCCAACCTGGCAATCTCAGACTTCATCGTGGCCATCGTGTGCTGCCCCTTCAAGATGGACTATTACGTGGTGCGGCAGCTGTCCTGGGAGCACGGCCACATCCTCTGCGCCTTGGTCAACTACCTACGGACTGTCTCCCTTTATGTTTCCACCAATGCTCTCCTGGCTATAGCTGTTGACAGGTAAGTGGGGTGCTGTGACTGCACGAGGAGGTGGTCAGAGCTTCTGAGCCATGTTCACCACTAAACCACATCCTCGAGTGCCACATCCACATGGTTTTTTAATTATTACCTGGGCAGGTTGTTCCAATGCCTGACAACCCTTTCAGCAAAGAAATTTTTCCCTAACAATGCTGCAGTCCTGAGAGACTGCCTGCCTCTTACTCCAGGAATTTTAACAATATAATATAGTCATAATATAATTATTTCTTATGATTCCTCTTCTCTCAGTCTTGTGCACCACGGACTCCGACAGACCCAGGCTCTGAGGATCAGTCTCATGCTGACATATCTGACACAACTGACTCACAGAAAGATAGTGACCCACTCAGTAAACTCTTCATAGAAAGGCCACCATTAAAAGCCCTCTCTTGTGTACAAATGCAATATACATATATACATTGCATGATTCCCACTCTTCCTTCTCTTTTGTCCCCAATTTCTCTCATGTGTCATTTCATGCTCTAGTCTAATGCTGCATGATTTTTGGCACCTGATCCAAAAGACAGCTTAGGAGCAGAGAGCTCTGATGATGGCTGCAAAGATACAGCTCGTGTGTGGCTGATTCAGTTGTTCCTGATGTCAACAGAACTCTGTGGAAAGATTCTGGGGAAGTTCAGAGAGATTTTGCCTGGTGTGGGTGAGGGTACAATCAGCTCCTATGAAACAAATCCTTAACAAGCATCTAACAAAATAGCATCTCGACAGCAGCTGAGGACTCGGGGTAAAGCTTTTAAACACTATCATGTATGTATTACCATTTTCTAACACTTTTTCAACCTCTACAAAATCTTCTTGGAATGCTTTGCTAGTGCATCCCAGGTTGATGAAGTAACATGGGTCATGGAGCTCTTATGTCTGCTAAGAAATCAGTTTTCTAGCATATCTCCCTACACATCTTTAAAAACAACTCTGGAAAAGATTAAACACTGAAGCTTGTTGTAAGAACACACTGTTTTTGGTTTCACTGCCCTTTTTTTTTTTGTGAGGTTTTGACTTGGTAAACAGAGAGAAACCTCATTTGTTTAACAATCACCTATTCCATGTTGGTTATGTCAAGTGGATTGTTGACTTCGATCTCTAAAAAAGAACAGGCTCTAATAAAAGGCTTCTCATGTTTAGATCACTTAGAAGGAATCACCTGTGTCAACAGGGTGAGTCTGTCCCACAGGATTTTCCTCAGGTAGGGCTCTCCTTCATCTTCACTGATGTCTGTTCACATGAAACATAGGAATTTCACACATTTAAGGCCACACCTACACTAGAAAATAATACAATGTAAAAGGAGAGGATCTGAAGAGCAAGATCACGTGATAAGAGTCCACTGTAAATATGGGGGGGGGGGCAGGTAGCTTTAGCTGGGTCCCCTGGACTGAACGTCCATGGGCACTTGGTGTGTTTTACTTAAACTTTTGGAGAACATCTACCAGGGCAGTTTCATCTGAATTCAGTTCACGTGCTGCAGGACCACTCCACAGTAAAAGACCAAGTGTGGTAAGCAATGACAATCAGGAAATCCACCACAAAAGCTCTGTCCTGACTCTCTTAGACAGACTGACTCCATTGAGTCAAATGTTCTGCTAAGCAGATATGCATATTTATGAATTCATACACATTACATCATCCCACGACCAGCTTTCATAGAAATCAAGTTAAAAATGTTCATTTATCAGCTCCACAGTGAGGCTGACTAATTCTGCTGGCCCCTGACACCTATCCTGCACTATTAAGAGCCATGAACAATTCATCTGCTTCCAAGATCTGGCTGGTGAAAAGCACTGCTGACTTTCCATTTTACTTTAGAATTAATTTATCCTGTGGATGCTACCTTTGTATAAAACATATACAGATGGAAAAGACTCCGCAGGAATGAGAAATTCTATTTTTTGAAGCAATCCTTTGGGTTAAATACAGTTGTATTGGGAGCTCTGGTGTGCCTCAAACATCTTCTTCTAGCAGGAATACCCCAAACTTGCAGCTGTACAGTCATAAGGAGTGCAAACATCTAACTCAAGTTTTCTGCTTTGCCACATTACTTAACACAGTACATTTAAGATTAATAAGCACCTCCAAAAAACACACACAAAAAAAGATTTGCATAGGCAGAAAACAGGTACACTATCCTTTGTTGGTGGCTTGAAATCATGCTCACCTGTAACCACTCATTAACATCACCATCAGCTCTTTGCACTCCATGGAATAACCAAGGAAATAAGAAAAACACTGTAATGTCTATTTGATCTCTTTGTAAAAAAAGCATATTTAAGTAGCTCTGTGCCTAAGGAAAGTATTTTCCTGTTTTTACATGTTTGTCATTTCTTCCTTGCACCTGACTAGGTGTGTATTACTCCACATTTCAAACTCTCACTCCTTTTAAAAAGGAAAAGTGGTGATGCAAAACTGTAGCTCAGCTCCAGGCTGTTACTTCAGACCTGTAAGCTGTTCTTGCAGACAAATATGTTCAGGAATGACAGTAATTTCCTCCTGCCCAGTTCTGCCCCTTTGTATTTTGAAGTGTATTGGGACTAACAGTGTTTTCGGGCTTCATTTTGAATGTATTTGTCTATTCCAGGTATCTGGCCATTGTTCACCCACTAAAACCACGCATGAATTACCAAACAGCAACCTTCCTCATCGCCTCGGTCTGGATTGTCTCCATACTTGTAGCTATCCCATCTGCATACTTTGCTACTGAAACGGTGTTATTTATAGTGAAAAACCAGGAGAAAATTTTCTGTGGCCAAATTTGGCCAGTTGACCAGCAAATATACTACAAATCGTACTTCCTCTTCATCTTTGGCATTGAATTCGTGGCACCCGTGATCACAATGACTTTGTGTTATGCCAGGATCTCTCAGGAGCTTTGGTTTAAAGCCGTCCCAGGATTCCAGACAGAACAGATCCGAAAAAGGCTTCGACGCAGAAGGAAAACTGTTATGGTCCTGATGTGCATCCTGACTGCCTATGTTCTCTGCTGGTCACCTTTCTATGGCTTCGCAATTGTCCGGGACTTCTTCCCCACCATCATCGTGAAAGAGAAGCATTATCTCACTGCCTTTTACATAGTTGAGTGCATTGCCATGAGTAACAGCATGATAAACACCATGTGTTTTGTAACTGTGAAAAACAACACCATGAAGTACTTCAAGAAGATCATGTTGCTCAGATGGAGATCAACGGATAATGGAAGCAAATCCAGCACAGATTTGGACCTGAGAACAAGTGCAATGCCAGTCACAGAGGAAGTAGACTGCATAAAACTGAAATAAATTTTCTGCAGTTCAAATCTTATCTGTTTTGGAGAGGGGGTTAAAGAGGAAATAATGTCTCCTCAGAAGCTTCTCCCTTGTCTGTGGGAATACCCACTATTGGTGAGATCCCTCAAAAAGCAGCCTGCATTCCCACCAGAACTCTTCTCAGTGGACTTCTAGATAATACCCCTAACTCTGCGTCTTACAACATCCCTAAGACTGATGCTGGGCTTCAGGTCACTCATCTGTAAATTTGAGATGTAGACACTCATTTTAGAGTTAAGAAGAACAATAAAGTCTATGAATGCATTAGACCGTAATACAACAAGGGAAGAGTTGAGTGCTGATCCCAGCAGTGACGCCTCTCTTAAGAGAAACCTCTTAAACCCTTTGATCTTATCACTTGTCCCTTTAAGCTATTTAGTGTCCTTTTCCTTCTGGTCAGGAGAGGAAGGATGGCAAAAAAAGCCCATTTAGCACTCTTTAACCTCTAAATTTACCCCTCATCACGAAGGTCCTTGAAATCTACAGACCACCAGCTTCCTATTGTCTAATGTGCAGCACGCTCTCATGAAAGGCACATGCTCTGCAAAGCTGAAACCTGCTTCACAGCCTAGTGAAAAACCTCAAGCCTCTTCCTGTGACACCTTGTTTAAGAATGTTTTATCACCATTCCACTCTGTAGTTTTATGAAGAGTGCTACTCTCTCATGCATTTGGAAATGGCACAGATACATATGGAGGGACCTGTTCCCTCACCTCCAGGTACCCTATGACCAGCTTTTGCTGCATTGAGATGCTGAGGTCATCACAGAATCCATCACAAAATTGTACAGGTGGGGAATAACATCTCCACATCATCTAGCCCACCCCTCTGCTCAAGCAGGTTCAGCTAGAACAGGTTGCCCAGGATTGTGCCCAGTTGAGCTTTGCCTGATTCCAGGGAAGGGGTCTCCACAGCCTCCCTGGACCACCAGTGTCAGTGTTCAACAGCCCCCACAGTGAAGAAGTGCTTTCCTCTGTTCAGATGGAATTTCATGTATTTCAGCTTGTCTGTCACTGGGACCTATAAAAAACATGTTAGGGAGGAAAATCCAGCTTGCTGAACCAGGCCCAGACATCTTACCAAGTCTGTGTGCACCTTCACCATGAAGTACAAGGGGGGCCAAAACACCAAGGAGATCCCAAGATGATCTGTCCTCCTGGGAGCAAGAGAGGCTTCAGCAAGTCAGTCTCTGGTTGAGTTGAATAGCTTACTGTCAGGTCAAATGTGAGGCACCAGCTCCAGATGAATTCTGCATTGCCTCCCCCAGTGCTCCTTTTACTGTTCTGATTTTGTGTGAATCCAGTTCGGGTGTTTTTAACTGATAATCTTGACAAAGCAGGTGACAGTAGCAGTAATACCTACACATTTCAACTGCACATAAGATATTGTGGACTTTTCTGTATTGAAATCAAATCTTTTCTATCATGACGATAAATACTTCCTGTTTTAAAGTATGTGGCTGCAGCTACTTTTGGAGTAAACAGCTTTTGTAAACAACTCTTGTCTATTCGTGGATTTAAATGAGCAGCAAATCCTGCCAATAAAATAGTAAATATGGCCTCAATGTCATCATTCTGAATTATTTTTTTATCTTTTTCCCTTAGCTGTCACTTTCCTATCCAACTGACTAATGTGAACATTCCCATTTCCGTTAAAGAAAAATTGACCAATTATATTTAAGGGCAAAAGGATATTCAAATCAATTAAAGTGCTCAAATCCTCTCATCATTAGCTGCTCTTAAATATACACTGGAGAGGATATCATCATTTGCTGTTAGGCAAAACAATTACTGAAATCATCCTTCAAAATGACAGTTTTAAACAGGGCTAAGTACTAAATACATTTATTTCCCAGCTTGACAAAGAAACTTAAGGGACCAGAGAGCTGCCATATTTCACCATCAAAAGGCTTTTAACCTCTCCTGAAATGTCATGGTTCCTTCTGAAACTATGCTCCCATATGTATCTCCTAAACCCTGCACTGGTTGTTGAGGATTAGCCAGGAATACTATTAGAGTGTCCTGATACTCCTTCCACCTGTTTTCCCTACACACTTTTGGTGCAGAAGTCAAATAACTGACTATTTTCCACACCTGGAAATCCATCTCAGGCTGGGGTATTAAAAAAAACCTCTAATCCCACCAAGCAGTATAGTACTAAGCAAGAACTTGGGAAAAGAATAGCTTTAAAATTCTGGAAATCACTTTGAGAGCTCCAAGAGAGCTCTTCTGGTCCAGCCTGCCCACTGTTCTTATCCCTGTCCCTGCCAAGGGTAGCAAAGCAGCAGTGGCCACTGCAGGCTTAGGTTTTGGGGTTTGCAACACTACCATGTTCTTGACATTTTGAGGTCTTCCCAGCAGCAAAGCAGTGTTTCAGCTGGAACCTCTGGATAGGGCAGGAGAATAAGCTTTGCTTTGCCCTCTACTGCATTGGTTGCAAGCAGCAACCCCAGAGAGAGGGGGGTTCCCAATGAGGAAAGGCGGCGGTCCCATTCCCTCATCAGAGCACTAAGCACTCATGTTGTCCTTAGCCTCTGACTGCACCAATTCCAAACAGCTCAAAACGGGTCCTACTTTCAGAGACATTTGCTCCTAAACTGAGCTCCAACCAGCAGGGGCTCAGAGCCTTGCATGCGGACTGAAAGTCACTTAAAAACTCTTGTGAAAATTCCATAAATGTGCAGGCAGCAGGGACAGGCCATGACCTGAGCAGCTCCCTCAGGCAGGGGGGAGCAGGTAGGCCATGGTCCAAGGGAGGGGGCCAGACCCCACACTCCTTGAGCTTAGATGAGCCACGCAGGGAAAAAAAGAACAGAAGGGGTTTTTTTTTACCCTTAGAACTCAGGCTAAGGGAAGGTGGATGCCAACACCTCAGCTCCCTGTCAGGTAGGGGACACCCTGCTGCCTCCTGCCTGGCCCCTCTCTGCAGAAACACTTTCTCACCTACACTGAAGGATATTTAGAGAAGGAACTGAATATGGACTGCACCTACACGGAGTTCTGCTTGCAAGAGCCATGCTTAAACAGAGAATGACAAGCACAAGCTGAGAGGAAGGCAGAACCTGTTCCAGAGGAGAAGCAGGCCTTTCCAGCAGAACTCCTGCCTCCTAGAAGGCAGGAAAAACTGCAGTGAGGCCTCTGTGGCTGCCAGTTGCCCATTATTAGCTCCAGGGACACAGATGCAATAAGGGCTTCATCATGCAGGAAGTGTGGGATGTATCATGGATGAGGTGCAGGTGAGGGTGAGGCATCCTCCTGGGAGCCCTTAATAGGGTTTAGATACCCATGTAGTAAATCAACCAGATACCACCATGTCTTGGTTGTAGTTAGATGCAATTTTTATTGCCAAAAGCAAAACTGTCGTGCTACCACATCAGATTCCCGCTCAGCTGTCCTCCTGTGGCACAGCTCTAAAACCATAGGCTCACTTCCTACTGCAGCACCTTCCCCAGGGATAACTGAGGGTAAAATCCAGCCTCTGCTCCTTCACAATGAAAAACAAAAACCCATGTGTAACTGCAAGCTAAAATGGGGACCCCAAAAAACTAAGCGAGGATTAAGAGAAGAAAAAGCACTTATTCTCAGAAACAAGCACTAAGAAAACAAAGGCTGTATGACCTCCATACCTTCAGGGTAGGTCAAAATAGCCAGCACGGTAAATTTTCCTGACAACTGACTGACTCACTCAGAAGCCCGGACTTGGTTGTGCTCCTTCTTGGAGCCTGTCAGCCTTTCCTGTGGCAACAGCACCCTCCGGCTGCTGCCTCTGCAGCACAGCGTCACTGAAAACGGCATCAGCTTACACCAAATGCCTTGGGAACACGGCCATGCAGATATTCCCAGGATTCCAACAAGTGGCAACACATATTTCAGCTTTTGTCATTAGGGCACCCAGGCACTTACCCAGTACTTGTGGTGTCTGCGTTCTCCCTCACCCCTGTGTCAGTAGGGCTGTGACTCGTGCTTGGGGTGCTCCCCTCCAAACACTCAATGCCATATGTGCAGAAAAACAAACACCATTGAGCAGAAAAAAGCAGAGTTGAGGCAAGAGAACACTACTCCCTCAGATTTACAAATCTCTCACCCTCTGTTAGGATTCTGTTCCAGACTGCACCCTTACATACGTTGCCAGGAAAAGCCTCAAATCACAAAATCACAGAATCAATTAGGCTGGAAAAGACCTCTAAGATCACAGAATCAATTAGGCTGGAAAAGACCTCTAAGATCACAGAGTCTGACTTTTGACCAAACACCACAATATCAACTAGACCATAGCACTAAGTGCTACATCCAGTTGTTTCTTAAACACCTCCAGGGATGGTGACTCCACCACATCTCTGGGCAGTCCATCCTAATGTTTAATCATCCTTTTTGTGAAGAAATTCTTCCTTATGTCCAACCTAAACCCCCCCTGGCACAGCTTGAGAACTATCTCCCCTTGTCCTGTCACTTGTTGCCTGGGTGGAGAGGATGAACCCCACCCAGCTACAACCTCCTTTCAGGTGGTTGTAGAGAGTGGTAAGATTACCCCTGAGCCTCCTCTTCTCCAGGCTAAACAACCCCAGCTCCCTTAGCTGCACCTCAAAATCACTGATGAGGCGGGGATCCCTGCAACTTCTAAAGTGACCTTTGTAAAACCACGCAGAAAAAAAGAACACAGGACAAACCCCGATGTAAAACCACCAATAATCATGGATAATAAGAAACATCACTGAGCATGTGGTTGCTCAAGGCACAAAGTCACCTTCCTCAAAACCAAGACTTGGTAAGCGACAGAAGACACATTAAGATGGCAATATTCCCTGGAAAAAGGCATCCCCAAGCTAAAAAGAATCATCAAAACCCCATTTAAACTTCTCTACCTGCTCATCTGCTGGTTCCAGAAGAAAAAATGTGGAAGTTAACACATGGAAAGCATCACAGGAAGCAGGAAAGCACAGCAATAAAATCAGGGCATGCAGCACTCCGAAAAAGCCAGGGGTGAAGCACTGCTCCAGAATAGCTCTGTAAAGTGCTCCAACATACACCAGTCACTGTAGAAGTCAAGAGAAAAGCCATAGGGTGAAACACCTCAAAAAGAGGTGGGAGCCTCTGAAAAGCCAAAGAAATAAAACAAACAGGTCTGAAGGACTACTCCAGGGCCACATGGTGATGCACTCCACTCCAAAAAATACCAGGTGATGAAGAAAACAAAAGAATCAGTGGGCAATGTGCTAAAGAAAGACAGTGAAGGACTTCTCTGTGAGGCTGTGATGAACGACTCCAATAAAAGTTGGGCAGTAAGGTGAAGGAAACCAACATAATACAACATGAGATTCCAAAAAGAGCTGGGCCTTGTGGCAAAGGGCTCCTGCAGAGGCAGCACAGCACAGCATAAAATTCTTCAGGGGTGGCACAGTGAAAGACTTTTGTGGGGCAGCTTCTCAGGGTGAACAAGGTGAAGGGCTCCAAGGGTCCATGAAGTAAGGAGCTGGCTCCCGAGGTGGTCAGGAGTAACAACATGGTGGTCCAGCAGGTCTGGCCCATGGCTTCCAGACTGGCTCACCTGTCTCCTGGCCCTGAGGGCAACAGCTTTCCCACCCAACACAGCCCCAACATGGTGGGAGCAGGAGGGCTCAGGGTTGGAGGGAGGGGCTGAGGCCACGCACAACTCGGTGCAGAAATGGCAAGACCCAGGCACCACTGGATTTGGTTTCCCTCAGCAGTTTTTTCTTTAAGAGGAGCCTCATCACAACAAGAGGGGCGTGTGAGCCTGAGTCAAAAAACCCGGTATGGGTATTGTAGAGCACACTACATCCATAGAGTCCTTCTGAAAAGTCATAAAAACAGCTGGAGTGTATTTGAATGCCTATTTGCAGCCACACAAGAATGATTCCCCTGCTGAACTTTAGGACTGTGTCCAAAAAAGTGCCAAATTCATATGGCTCCAGTCAACTGCCCCAAAACATACTAAAACTTTTTAATTTACTTTCTAGGAGGTTCAGGGAAGTGGTGAACACACTGAAGGCAAGATATTCCAGCAATGTCTTTAGTAGTCACAGACACACAGTTACACATCTTTCCTGCTGTATAAGTATATTTGTGCAAAAATACAGTCAGTCATCAAGACTTCAGCTTTGCTGAGAACTGAACACAATTCCAGTGATATACAGGCATGGAAAGAAGTACTGTTGTAATCGGAGCAAATACATCAGAGCTGTTGTTGAGCCAACCAAGTGGTTCAATACACTTGAGATATTGTTCTCAAGGGATTTAGACAATTTGTATTTAATTACTGTACCTCAAGACAACCAACAAAATGATACCTAAAAGGAAAACTGCAAGCAGAATAATGAAGTTTACAACTGAAATAACTCAAAGGAACATTAAGAAATGGTTTAGGCTCTCCTAATGCCAGCATTTCTTTCAAGGAGACGGAGATGAAGTTTTAACAATCTTTAAAATTGTATTTCAAAATAAGAGACACCAAGGGCATTGTAAAGCCCCATGTTAGACGTAACCAAATTGAACAATATGTTTCCTGCGTTATGATGGGTGTCTGAGATCGCTCTGGAGTTGATCTAGAGAAGGGGCTTAGAGAGAGTGTTTCCGTCTGCCAAGCCCTCAGCCCTTCAGCTACCCTTTCAGATGGGTGGGCTAAGGCTCTCCCAGCCCCACCTCTCGCAGGCAGCACTCTGGTGGGTGCCCCGTGTGCTCCCTGCGTGTCCTTGAGGATCACCTACCGGAGTCGTGATCCTGTTCCCCGCTCATCACTCATCACTTTCCCTAGGGAATCTGCTGTCCTTGCCATCGCTGGGGCTGGGACATCCAGCAGCCCTGCTGGAGCCACCTTCCTGTCTCACACTGTGCATTTTCCCAGCAGAGCAAGGCAGAGTCAGAGACCCTGGGCTGTTGCGCAGCAGGGTTTCTCTCCCCTTCCTGGGGAACTGGGGAGAGAGGCAGTCGTCCCAGGCAGATGAAGAGGGATAGGGGAGAAGCCACAGATGTGGAGGAGGCACGTGTTCCCCGAGGAAACGGCAAGCAGCCCAGAGAGTTGAGGACAGCACGGGAAGATGTGAAAGGTGCAGCAGAAAAGAAGCCCCGGAGCTCCCAAAATCCCAGCAGCGGGTGTGCAGCAGAGCAGGTGATTGCAGCTGGGGAGGGGAGGACTGCACTGCAAGCTGAACGGGAAAAGCCCCTGCCCATGACTGGTGCTCCAGAGTCAGGTAATGCTCAGCATGCCATCGGCTGAGGGAGCCACAGGGGCTCCTGCTGGCGCAGGGAGAAACCCAAAGAGAGCCTTTCAGGCACTGAAAGAAGAGTTCATTTCTCTGCCCTCCTTCTTCCTTTGCTCCCCCAAGAGAGTCGTTTCTGGCAGCTCTGTTTTCTCGGGACAGGGAGGTCATTTCTGACCCTCTCAGCGAACACGCAGGTTGGGCTCAGCATGAACTTCATCTGTCTCGTCCTCGCTCTCTGCCTAGGAAACCTTCTGTCTAAATCCCGGCATTTCATCACTCTATCCTTCTTCCTCCTCCCAGAAAACACTCAACAGGGTTTTCAGGCCCCTGTGCGGAAATACCACTGAATAGAGGAAAAACGTTGCAAATGCCGTGTTTGCTGTCTTGCATGTGTTCACTCCAGATGATCTTACTTCTGTAAGGAAATAAGAAGGAAGAGAAACTTCAGATCTCTTCTCCGTCTCTGCTCTTCCCTTCATCCTCTCTTCCTCTCCCTGTTCTTCTCATCCACCACTGCCGGGTGCCCATCCACCCGCTGCCACCACAGGATATCTCGACTGTCTCTGCAATGCAATTTTTCTGCCTTTCTAAAAAAATCAGCAGATCCTTTCGAGGCTGGCATAGGTCTATCAAGCTCTCCTCTCACTAGCTTTAATAATGCGTTGCATTCTGCCTCCAGGCTGCCTCTGGCACGACTTCCAGTTTTCCCCAGGCTGTCAACATATTCAGGGCTCTCTGTTTGCAGGATCAGTGTTGTGTGTTTTCAGGGAGAAAGGAACCCTCAGAATTTACGGCGATGAAAAATATGGGAAAAAGAACGAACTTTTCTACTCTGCCTCTGAGTGCCCCTCAACCTGCAGCAGATGTGCTGGCTCCAACATACAAAGTTCAGGTGTGACAGACTGTTGCCTGGTCCTCTGAGCAGGAGGAGAAACACAGCAGCGCTCTCCTCACGGAGACTGCATGAGTTCAAAGCAGGAGGGAGATGACATGCCACGTGCGAGCTTTCTCTGGAGCTTTCTCTGGCAATGGTGCTTCTCCCTCGCCGTGGCACTGGTGTCACAGCCCCTGACTAAACCCCAAGTGGTTTGTCTGGCCAGTAGAATTGCTTCTGCTGCCAGCAAGGATGCTCCCAGGGACATGCCAGGAGAGGCTAAGCCCGGGCTGCTGAGCCGGGAGGGATGGTCTGAAACGCATGCACCTGGACCATTCTTAATAACCCGTGCCCCAGAGGACAAGTCAGAAGTCTCCACGTGCCAGCAAAGCAGGGATGAGAGGGAAGAGATGATGGTGATGAAAAAAGATCATGGCCTGTCAATCTTGAGCTCCCCGATACGAAACCGCCCCCTTGACACACAGCCTGTCCCAGCCGCCTCCGCGGTGCAGAACCTCGACCGCCGCTCCTCTGCCGCCGCTCTCGCCTGCCCTCCGCATCCAGCCAGCACCCGATGAGAGCCCGAGAGACGCGGAGGCCGGGCTCAGCCTCAGGGCGGAGTTGGTTGACGAGGGCAGGGGAAGGAGATGAAAGTAGAGGAGGGAGAGGAGGTGGAGAGGAGGCGGCCCGACCGAAGCAGAGAGCCGGGGCTGGCGGGGGCAGCGAGAGACCGGGCGGCGGATCGGCGGATGCGGCTCTGACGTGGAGCGGGGCTGGCGGTGCTGGCCGCGGTTCTGCTCGGTGAGCAGGTCAAGGATAGCGGTGCAGGTCCCTCGATGTTGCCGTCCTGCCTGGCAGGTTCTTCACAGAGCTCAGTCTCCGATCTATCCTCCCGTCTGTCCCTCCCTCTGCTTCGTAAAGCACTCCCTCGGAAAAATCCTCCCTTTTTCGAGCCGTTCTTCTTTCCTTACTTTACTCTCTGTCCTTCAGAGAACTCCTGCCATCCGTCCTTCCCCTTTACTACTTTTCTTTCTCTCTTTGCCTTGCTCAGTCCCGCAGCTTTCCATTCTTCAGTCACTCCGCCAATCCACCTCTCTTCCCGCACTCATCTCTCCAGCTAGTACTCATGGACACTTCCACTACTGCTCACCTTGACATCCTCTTAAAATTCTTCTCCGTGTGTTCCTGATTGTTTCTGTGCCCTTTCTTCTGGGAAACAACATCCAGCGCAAAAAGCAATTCTGACGGCTTTCTTCTTTATCTCCCCGCCAGTGTCTGCAGGCAGAGCCCAGGTGCAGCAGGACCCGTTGGCAGAGACCACCGAGGGCAGTGAAATCACCATCAAATGCTCACACGCCAACCTACGAATCCATGATTTTATCCATTTCTACCGGCAGCTGCCGGGCCACAGCCCCGAGCTCCTGGCACGCGCTGCTAAAGGGTCCGGAGAGCTGCGTGCGCCAGTGGGGCGGCTCTCGGTGTCGGCAGACCGTCGTTGGACGGTCCTCTGGCTCTCCGGGTCCAGTGCTGGGGAAGCGGTGCTGTATTGCTGCACCCTGGCGGACACGGATTCATTGACACCGTCGTCTTTGGAGCTCTCAGGGGATTTTCTCAGAAATACAAAAATGGGGTAGCTGTTTTTACAGCCGAGCAAAATAGGGCCCCTATGAAAGCAGGGCGTTTCAGTCCTACAGAGAGCACAGGCTTGTGACAGAATGTCTGGGTGTCAAGTGACATACACAGCGTAGCGCAGCGCAAGTCTGGGCATACTGCAGTCAGCTGCAATGTGTGTCCTTAAGTTCTCCTGAGCCGTCGTCCCCTGAATACTCTTTTCCCCTTCAGGCAGGCACCGCCATTCTCTGGTTCATGAAGATCTTTCTCTTTGGATAGGAGGACGTGTCTAGCCTTGTCTTGAGTGTGAAAAAGACACGGTAATGGTCTGCAAGACTTGGAGTGTCACTCTTCAAGGATCTGCACGCTAAATCTCGGAGGTGTGCTGAAGAATCTGCGGAGGCAGAAAGTGCGATGGAGCGAGGTGCAGCCAAGCCCGACCAAGTGGTAGAGGTCGTGAGTGAGCAGACAAAAGCGGTAAAAAATGGAAAGACTTCCATCCATGGGGCCCTGGGTTCAGGAGGTTGGTGGCAGGACCATACTCCATTATCCTCTCAGCAGAAATGCAGTGTCCTCACTTTCCTGTAAATGTGTTATCTCTGCTCTGATACGTAAGAGGGCAGAACCATGTCAGGAGCCCACAGGTCTAGGGAGGGTGAGCTTGATGTTGCTCTTCCGCCTGGCAAGACTGGGAAAATATCGGGACCCTCCACCTTCCTCGAAATCTCCTGTTACACCTGGAGGAGGTGCAGCATTTCCACTGGAATGATCTTACTCTTACCATTTTCATCATTCCATCCTTTTTCACATCCTCATAAATATTTTGTGGAGGAAACCTCATGTTAGACGTAACCAAATTGAACAATATTTTTCCTGTGTTATGATGGGTGTCTGAGATCGCTCTGGAGTTGATCTAGAGAAGGGGCTTAGAGAGAGTGTTTCTGTCTGCCAAGCCCTCAGCCCTTAAGCTACCCTTTCAGATGGGTGGGCTAAGGCTCTCCCAGCCTCACCTCTCGCAGGCAGCACTCTGGTGGGTGCCCCGTGTGCTCCCTGCGTGTCCTTGAGGATCACCTACCGGAGTCGTGATCCTGTTCCCCGCTTATCACTCATCACTTTCCCTAGGGAATCTGCTGTCCTTGCCATCGCTGGGGCTGGGACATCCAGCAGCCCTGCTGGAGCCACCTTTCTGTCTCACACTGTGCATTTTCCCAGCAGAGCAAGGCAGAGTCAGAGACCCTGGGCTGTTGCCCAGCAGGGTTTCTCTCCCCTTCCTGAGGAACTGGGGAGAGAGGCAGTCGTCCCAGGCAGATGAAGAGGGACAGGGGAGAAGCCACAGATGTGGAGGAGGCACGTGTTCCATGAGGAAACGGCAAGCAGCCCAGAGAGTTGAGGACAGCACGGGAAGATGTGAAAGGTGCAGCAGAAAAGAAGCCCCGGAGCTCCCAAAACCCCAGCAGCGGGTGTGCAGCAGAGCAGGTGATTGCAGCTGGGGAGGGGAGGACTGCACTGCAAGCTGAACGGGAAAAGCCCCTGCCCATGACTGGTGCTCCAGAGTCAGGTAATGCTCAGCATGCCATCGGCTGAGGGAGCCACAGGGGCTCCTGCTGGCGCAGGGAGAAACCCAAAGAGAGCCTTTCAGGCACTGAAAGAAGAGTTCATTTCTCTGCCCTCCTTCTTCCTTTGCTCCCCCAAGAGAGTCGTTTCTGGCAGCTCTGTTTTCTCGGGACAGGGAGGTCATTTCTGACCCTCTCAGCAAACACGCAGGTTGGGCTCAGCATGAACTTCGTCTGTCTCGTCCTCGCTCTCTGCCTAGGAAACCTTCTGTCTAAATCCTGGCATTTCATCACTCTATCCTTCTTCCTCCTCCCAGAAAACACTCAACAGGGTTTTCAGGCCCCTGTGCGGAAATACCACTCAATAGAGGGAAAACATTGCAAATGTCGTGTTTGCTGTCTTGCATGTGTTCACTCCAGATGATCTTACTTCTTGAAGGAAATAAGAAGGAAGAGAAACTTCAGATCTCTTCTCTGTCTCTGCTCTTCCCTTCATCCTGAATCCGTAAAACCGGTCGGACAAACTGCCCAGAGACTTTTGATCTTTTGAGCAGCAAAGGTATTTATTAGCAGTGCTGGGAGGAAGCCATCTATTGCTGGAAAATCTTGATCACCAGCTCCTCAGAAAATCAGGACTTTTATACAATTTTCAGATGTGATTAAATGCATATTCAAACGATTACAACATCTATCAATACATATTAAAAATAGGCGGAGTATAGGCGGAGTTCAGAGTGGTGCTTCTCTTGGCACCCCATTTCGAGGGGTAGTTCCGGTCTTCATCCATAGGGCAGGGGTCTCTAACTCATTTTCCTCAGCTTGACCCTTCTTCCTTTCCATTGTTCTTGACCCGCTCACTGAAGCTTGGAAAAGGCCCTGGCTCCAGGCCTATTTCTCCTATTCAAATGTCTACCTGATCCTGTTATACTTCTAATTCATTGCTTCTAAGTCTATTACATGTTCTTGTACTATTCCTTTAAGCTTTGGTCCAGTAAGTAGAACAGAACGGGTACAGATCGTTTTGAATATTGGTAGCATGTTTGCAGGACGAAATCAACTTGTTTGCAGACCAGATCTCTCGGTTAACTCTTTGGGGCCTAGCCTCCTATATCATTCCCCCCTTTCTGTTTAGAATTTACGAATTCCTTCGTCAAGCTCTAATGGATTTTGGTAGGTGTGCATCACAGCCCACATTATCTGCATCTTTCTAACCATGATGCTTAATTTGTACCATAGCCAAATAATTACGATCAACAGTATAATCATGCTAGCTCCTAAAACCAGTATTGGATGTATTAAGTAGTGGAACACTTGTGATGCCGTGGGGGAGAATCCAGTAAAGATATCCCACCAGTGATGTTCTCCCACTTTTTCCACTTTGGTTAAGACAGTTTTTATATTTTCAGTGTCATGTTCCACCTGCCAGAGCATTCGTTTAGTCGTTCTGTTTACTTCCTGGACTAGTTTTTCTATGTCAGGATGTTTAAGCATTGCTTTAAAAAGATTAATGTTCATTCCTATTTGTAATTTTGGTACATCATGATACATTATATAATCAGCTTCAATCAATTGTCTAGTAGTCACTGGAACAGTATAATCAAAGTCACAGCCTGTGATTCGAGTAAAATTACATACACAAAAATTGGTACCATTCGTAATTTCATGGCAAGCATCTATGGTAAAATTAGCACAAAAGGTCCTAACACATGCACACCCATTTCCCACGTAGTAAACTTGTGATTGGGCTTTAGCATGGGGAAGCATCTCAAAGGTACACAAACTATTCTCAGTATCTAAGCATAAATCTTCATTTTCTACTACAGCATTTTCACAGATATACCCCAATTGTCCTTTAGGAGTACATGCCTCAGTACTGACTGATTGCCACTTTTTCTTGGTGTGATCGTAGCTTGCCCAGGCATTATGGTCTATTGGTCTAACAATTACATTCTGATGTATGGCTCCTAATGTCAGGATAGGAAAGATGGTCTTTTCTTTAGCTGCACTAATAGTGAGTACATAAGCTTCAATTTGTTCATGTTCAGGGTTGTACGTGAAATTTACTAGCTGCCACCACGCTTGATAATCTCTCTCAAATTGTGTAGTGGAACTGTTTCTAGCTATTATTTCTCTTACTTCTTGTGGTAATATTCCTGAAGTTCCTTCTCTTAATATTCCTGCAGCTACAGACTGTACCCATTGTTGGGTTTGGAGACACTGTACTGCAAGTGCAAACCTTTTATGGATGGCACCAGCATAGTCAACGAGTTTGGTGAAATCCTTTGTAGTGTGATTAGCTACTAAAGCTAACAATTTAACTGCTAATGATTGTGTTTCCGCCAAGGTGAGCAAAGATGATCTTAAAGGGACTTTGAGTTTTCCTAGATCAGATGTGACAGCACTCAGTTTATTCACCAATACTTCTTGATCTATGGTGTTTAATACACCTAATCCTGTACCGAACCATCCAGTTAGATCTCTCCGAATCCTGGTATGGGGGGATCTGGCCTCCATCCATGCATGCCAGCCTTTAAGGGTTAGTTGTATATAGGGTTGACAATCTTTTTGTATAGTTGATATGTTTACCTGAAGGTTTATTCTAACTCTTTTCAGTGAGTATGTGGGATCTAACAACAGCTTTTGCTCATTTGAGTGTCTAATTACATATGGTCCAGCAAAAGTTAAATTATGGGTGTTACCACAGGTTGGAGGAGGAGGAGCCGTGGTGGTGGTGGTTGTTGTGGTGTTAACAGTGGTAGTGGTAGGGGGTTTAGTAGTCGGGATACTTGACGAGGCATTAATTATAAATCTCCTGGTTATATTTCCTTCGTTAAGTAACCACATACATAATCCGGAAATTGATTCGTTTAGAGTAAAAGTGTGCCAACAGTGATCAGAATCACATGTATGTCCACTAACTGCACTTCCAAAATCATACGGGTATCTAAGTTCTTCATGTATTGCATCTCGCACAGTAACTTCAATTTTGGGTGACCAATCAATCCGTGAAGGTGGCTTATATACTCTACATCCAATTCGGGTTTGTTCTCCAATTTTCCCTATTAAAGTACTTGCAGTGTAAGAATAGCCAGGGTGTTCCCAATTATCTAATACTCTCGATCTCTGAAGGACTATGACAGACGGATTATACTCATTCAGTTTGTTTGGATGAGGGATAATTTCTGGGTCTATAAAGAATTGCAGACCAGAGCTCTCATTATAGGCTAGGGACCATAATGATTCTTGGGGAAGGGTTTGATCAAACACCACTATACTTATCAGTCCAAAGATCAGCACTGAGGAGGTTTGACAGTAGATGATTCTTCTCCCGACGTCCATGTTTCCTCCGGAACCCTCTTGACTCGAGAGTAGTGGATCCACGTGTGTTTCTCTTTCACCCGGATCGCTGTGAAGGTGGTCATCGACACCTGGAAGGGTCCATCCCACTTCTCTCGTAGTGGATCTCCTGA